TAACATTTTGTTGGGTACCTAGTCACGTTGGCATAGAGGGCAACGAGAAGGCCGACAGGCTTGCAGGGTCTGTGGGAAACCTTGTCCAATCGTCTTTCTGTTTACCATATCAGGATATAAAGCCTTTAGTAAAGTCATCACTTTTTCGTTGTTGGCAATTGGAATGGGACAGGGAGTGCGAAAACAAGCTCCACGTTACAAAGCCTGTTCTTGGAGCTTGGGAAAGCTCTTCATGCAAGAGTCGTCTTTATGAAACCTTGCTGTGCCGTCTGAGAATTGGGCATTCTTTCATCACTCATTAGTACCTACTTTGGGGGGAAGATCCTCCTATTTGTGATCAGTGTGGTGATTCTCTTACAATTTTACATATCTTATGGTCCTGTTCCGCTCTGGAGCCCAAGCATCGTATTTATTTTTCCGAGTTGTTTCAACAACAGATCCCGTTTCATCCGGCCCTCCTGCTGGGGGAGAATCCCATAGTCCCTTTTAGCAGGGTAATAGACTTTCTTACTAGCATTGGCATTTTATACCAAATATAGCTTTACCAAATCCTAGGCTGCACTTTGTTAAAACTCTCACCAAAGCATGCTGATTGTTACTATCGTTTGGCGCAGATGGCCTCGTAGCTCTTGCGCCATTAAACCCTCAAAATCATCATCATCGCTTGTTATCGCTTACCACGCGCGAACACACTGGTATCATATATGGGGAAGGCCTCGAGCACTTCCGATCTACGTATAACTAAACTGAAAATTTTGTAGGACCAGCGAGTTGAAATCCACGCGCCATCTGTTATTTTGATCGCACGTTGAAAGAATGATACTTAAAATATACGCAGATCAGAAATGTTCCAGGGCTACCAGGTAGATGGCGCCAGAGTTATCTTTTTGTGAGCAAGTGGTTGCAGCGCGGTCAATCGCACTCGAAGGTAAATGCATGCGTCTCGGCTTGCCGTTATCAGCCTATATCATCCCGCCTGCCTCGGTTCTTTTTGATGAATGTTTGTGATTAACTACTACGACCGTGTATCCGAGAAGTGTTGTAAGTTGGGCGGAGTTGGTATGATGACATAGTGAACAGAACAGCACACAAAAGGACAAAGACAGAGAGAACGAACACGGAGAACACACAAATGCTAACTCGTAACTGAATTTATACGCAAAAGGAGCTAGATGATGACGTGCTGAAAATCGCAGTGCGTGTCACACTTGACACAACACCATTTAACTTCAACCAGAGACCTTGTGTTTAGATTAGACAATGGGGCAAAGACATCGTAGTTTTCAGCACGTCCTCTTCTTACTTTTGTCTATAAATTCAGTTGCGAGTCAGCGTTTGTGTCTTGTGCATGTTCCTTTTCTCTGTCCTTGTCTTTTTGTGCCCTCTTCCGTTCACTGTTACCATATATTCGTCTTTAATTATTCGGAGTTCGTTTTGTTGCCGGCACCAAATGGAGTGTTTGTCCGGCCGATGAGACCAGAGTCTTCATCCACTAGGAGATACTCATGAAGGCATTGCGAACTATCCCCGTGAAGGCACTACACATAATTGCCTCCACGTGTGGGGTTCGCACACTGTCACTTGGGAGGAGATAAAGAGGGAACGCGGGAGTAGAACAGCCAACAAACATGCGGGCGACAAACAAGCCAACACACGTAGGAACGAACACCCCGTAACGTTCCTCGTGATTCGGGAATGAGAAATGGCATGTCGGGGTCTGCCTTTTTCCCGAGAACAACACGACGTCTTGGGCCGCAAGATACATTCGTCATCCGGGATCTTTGGCCTTGGCAGAGGGAAGGGGAGAAAAAAAGGAGAACGATGTGGGGATAACGGATACGGCGGGAACGATGGGTTTTTATGGTGTGTATGGAAGAACAAAGGGAAAAAAAGCAAGGGATTACAATCAGAAAGGGGATTTTAGAGGATTGGTGGAAAAGGTCTAGAGAAGTGTGATACTACACACAATGAAAGCGAAGACGCACAGGCAATGTGGTAAACTATATAACTACCCGAAACTATATAAAAAAAGAGAAAGACATGGACAACCACAAACTTGTCAACGTCTCGACGACAACCTCTTACTACGTTTTAAAACTTCAAGTAATTTTTTTATTTTTTTTTTATTTTTGGGGTAATTTTGGTTATTCCACAATGTTTACGGAGAAGGCAATTTATCGAAAGACGCAGTTTAGAGCACTATTTTAAGGTGTGGGGTGTACACTATTTTACTCAAACTGGCTCTAAGTAGCGTCATTACAAAGGATACCATCCATCTCTCCATCCGTTCATACAAGGAAAAATGGGGAAAGGATAGTGCGTGGGATAGGGGGATATAGGGAAAAAACGAAAGGGCATATTGTTTAGTAGGATTCTTTTCTAAACTAAACAAGAGCAAACGAAAAGTGTAAAAAAAAAATGAAGACGTAGAAATAAAAGAAATATTGTTTACAGTCACAAAGAGAAGGTTAGAAGTTGGCGGAAAAGGTCTAGGGCAGTGTGGTATTACGCAAAATGTGCGGGTTAAATGATTTAATGGGAGGGGGAATTTATAGGAACATTTTATTGAAAGACGCGTACATGTTTTCTGGGCTGGATGGCGCATGCTACCGCCCTATACAAAAAGTATGGCCAGTACTATCTATCCATTTATTCGTACAAGTAAGAATAGATAGAGAGTTAGTGGGAAAATAAAGGAAAGAGAATATTGTTAAGTAAGATTCCTTTCTAAACTTGGGCGAAAAGGGCAGAAAAGGACTGGAGGACCAGAAGAAAAGTCTTCGAGATGAAAAATAACTGAAAGAGGAGTGGTATAAAAGAGTAGAAAGGAAGAATGCTATCCGATAAGAACAAAATGTATAAAGAAAACAAGAGGAGTGAAATAGATGGACGGAATTGAAAACGAATGAAAGGACGTATGCGAACGGAAAGAGAGAAAAGCGACGCGGAAGAGAAATAGAAACGTTTTGTGTATTAGAAGACCGGGAAAGAAAGGAAGAGCGAGAGAGGGATCGAGGGCTGTATAGGGGGCAAGAGGAAACTAGAAAGAGCATCCATTTAGAGGATAGCGTTGGCACATGACAGCGGAAATACGTCATCTCACCGGAACAATGGGTCGGATAGAGAAGCGACCGCCGTTCTCCAACAAAGGCATCGGTTCGGGAAAAAGGGCGGAACTTTTCATCGTCGAGTTTGAGGGGGCTTAGCTGGCGGAACGGCAAACTTGGCGATTTCAACTATTCGAAATTTCGAGCAACGTAGCTGGCACACCTCGCGGATTTTGGAGCGGACTACTTCCAAGGGGTCGTCGTGATGCCTTTTCAGTGCAAATGATTTGCCGAATGATTTTCTCTATGGAACTAACGTGTTGCAGACTATGTGAAAAAAAAAGGATACAGAACTCATCGATGATATTGCATGTTTGGGTGTTGGCAGCCTGATTACGGAAACCGACTCTGGAAGCGTTTTCAGTGTCAATGTGTTTACTTGTGTTTAAGTTTGCTGATAAGTTTAGCAGTGGCGCCTGCTGTTTTGGTAAGATCAAAACGCGGCGCAGTGTGCGAGAAAACGAAAAAAAAAAAAAAAAACAGAAGAAGAGTGCGCGTTGGAGCTTGAGGGAGAATACGTCGTTACCTTTTTGTTATTCAGTGGCTTTGGGATCGTTAGGTTTCGCTTGGCTTCTGAGTTCAGAAAGATGGCAGACGCAAGAGGAGTGCTTGGGCGCATCTAAAGGGGCCGTCCGTTTGGTTCCTGGAAAGTGTGAATACCGGTTAGGCCGGGACTAAGGCCGGAGTTTCGCGTCTCATACGACATACAAAGTTCGTTGCATTCATGATGGCAGACTTATCTGCGGCCTGAAGCATGTTGGTAGCATGTTGGCTTCACACATGCCTCAGTCTGCACACAGGTTTTTTTTTTTTGTGTGTGTGTGTGTGCCCAATGTTACCGTCATGCAAGAACGAAACTAGCCTCAATGCTTGCAGACTATCTTTCGTGCGACGTATTAACATTCTGACTGCGACTTAATGCAGCGTGATTTTTTTTAAAATTAGGAATAACGGGAGTTTATTAGTCTATATATGTACGCGAGGATTTTGCTTTCGCTTCGCGTCTTCTGCGCTAGTGTTATATTTATACGCGGATAGTTAGGATATACGTGCCCGGTCCACAGACTGGTGTTCGGTGTCTATATGAGATTGTGGGTCCGGGGCCACGACGTGCCGATAAATGAATCGGGCTCCCCTTATCAGAATTGTCTTTGGATGAGACGACTCGGAACGTCGTCCCCGATAAAGGTGTCACGGAGCTGGAACGAGCTCGGAGAAGCCTATGTTCTTTTTTTCTCTTTCTATGCTTTTGCTGATGGTCTTCCTTGCGCGCTAGCGCTTCTTCCCAATCATCACGAAATCACGGACAGAGCTGAACGATTTCCATCAGTCTGTTGTGTATAGGCTCACTCCGGCACGAAAAAGAAAAAAAAAAAAAGAAAAGAGAGGCGAGTGAAAAGAGAGAAATTCCTATCTCTCTGTCAGCGTTCCATAGAGTTCATGTTAGGAATCTGGAAGGAAAAGTCGATCATAATTGTAGGATCTGGAACTTGCGTGGTTAAAGGAGAAACGTCCGCAGTGGAAGTGACTGGGGACAGAGGACAAACAGAGTGAAAGGTCCGCCATATTCCCACGCATTTCGACCGCCGTCAAATTGAGGGGCCGGGGAGGCGGACACAAGAGATCCCCGTGAACTCAGATTTCCGGCAAGACTACATTAAACAGACGCAGAAAAAATCGGGACGTTTTTTACGAGGTTGGTGCGTGGCTAATATTTCTTAATTCTCATTCGAAGTACAACACTATACCGTCGCGCATTGTTGAAAAAAACAAAAAGACCCGCTAAAGTTGAATAGCAATCGAACAATTTGAACTTGTTGCGGGAAATCCATCTATCGTTTCTAATCTATGTATATATCTAGCGCTAGTCTTATTTATTTATTTACTTTTCAGTTGGTGTTGGTGCCCGACTACTGCGACCCCGCTGATTTGAAGGAACAGTTCCGCAAGGAGATGGGAGCTCGTCGCAAGGCCGCCGCCGCCAAAGTGGCGCTTTTCAAGAACGCCGTCGGCACCCTGGACGACGACTTCTACTCCACGCCGTACGAGACGCAGCGGGTCGCCAAAGGTACGTGCCGCATCTTAGCCAATCCGTAACCAAGGCCCGTAAAAGCGAAACTGCCGCATCTTAGCCAATCCGTAGCCAAGGCCCGTAAAAGCGAAACTGCCGTATCTTAGCCAATCCGTAGCCAAGGCCCGCAAAACCAAACGTACGCGCAACTTCGCAGCCCTGAACGCGTCTTCGACTGGTCCGTCTAGTCTCCTATCCCGCCCATACATCGAGAGTGGTCTCTAAGTGGCAGCAAATGACGTCACAAAAGCCGACGTGTCATGCTGCCGCGACCCTGGCGGTTGGTGGTAGAAGTGCCGGCGAAAAGCACAGCGAACGCGAACGTCGCTGTCATCGCGCCGTCCCAACTTCTGACTGCCGAAGCTTCCGTGGTCTTCCACACTGGAGGGCGACCTGCAGCAGAACAGGCGTCTGCCACAGGCACCATTGCTACTGTGACACCGCCAGGATCGCGACCGGCGACAGCGTGACACCTGTATTACGTCATCAGGTGGAAATCGAAGGAGGACGTTTTAGGACAGGGTAAACACACCACAACGGAACCGAACTCTAGAAATAACCCAAAACGGGTGATAAAACGGTGCGTAGAACGGTTTTAATTGTGGCACCAAAATATTTACGAAGTGTTGTTTCCTAAAAAGGCATACCGCGTACAGATATGTGGCAATTTGGTCAGAAAAAAAAATGGAGTCCATTGTAAATCGAGAAAGACAAAGATAACGCGTGTGCAAAACAAATAAACGATATAAAAATGTGTACATATGTACTCGGAAATTTGTACGGCCCGCCGGCGTGCATATGTATACACGCGCACACACAGAAATCGTGTCTTTGGGTACACGGCATATGTATATAGACTGAAACTATTTTAGCGATTGCCACGGAAGCATATGAATTTTTCGAGATTCTCAAAATCCGCCGTCTAAAAAAAACAAAAAAAAAACAACAGTGTTGTACTAAAATTTCGAAAATGCTTCTTGGTGCTCCAAGCGACGTAACAAGTTGAACTATTTTCAGATAGAATATTTATTTCTTTAACTCGAATAATTGTGCCCCGAGAGGTATACTACTGCTACCGATGACGTTCATTGAGTGGTTGGTTCGACGCACTCGAGCTTCTAAGGTCCACGTTGTCAATCTCGCCAGTTTATCTGTATTGCGGAAAGCATTGCGAGTTGAAACGTTTTGTTCCAGAAGCGCACTTCTTTTTTAGCGGTACGGTACTTTCACACCTTACTTACCACACACAAAGAAAAAAAAGTCATGGCGTCAAGTTACCCGCACCGCCCAGCCGCTGTTTTGTGGTCCTTAATGAATGCTTGCCTCGGTTTCATTGGCACGCTGCAGCGTAAGTAAGCATGGAGGTTAGTTACGAATTCCGTTAGCCGAGAATTCCGTTAGAGAACTATGTCACGTCTTCGTCATCTCGTTGCACCCTTTCAAAGCGTCCGGCATCCCAAGGTGAGTAGGGCTTTCTAAGATGGCTGCCCGAGCACTTCTTCCACAGATCGTCGCGCGACCAGGTGTCTCCATTTTTTCGCGCACTCGTTAAATCACGAAAATGGTGGCCATTTTCATTGTCTTCCAGAGACAAATCCTACGCCTCGTTTTTTCTCCTTGTCTTTTTTTTTTTTTTGTAAAGAATACTAATAGGTGACCTAACTTGAGTCGATAAATGTGAGATTTATTGCATGATCATATTGTCGTAATGTGACAGTTTCTAAGGTACTGCCCTGGCTGTCATGTTCTGTTGGGTGACTGATGGTGTACCAGAGTGGACTGGGTGTCTAAAGCGTGTTTTTCCGCGGGAGTTGCGACCACCACACGTGCGTACAGACCTGTTCCTTTTTTTTAAAGCTTTTGCGCATTTGTTGTCTGGCAGCGACCGTCACGTGCCTCTCTGTAGTTACGTCACTACTATCTCTGACATCCATGACAGAGTTGTGTTTTGCTCGCACACTGATTTTGTAGTTGTAATATGCTCATCCCACACGCTTTGTGTCACTTCCTAGGTTGAACACAAGACGTGCATGGTGATAGACGAGTGCTGGCGTAATACTTTAAACGGCACAGATGGTTTAGAATATTGATGTTTACTTGCCTACCCGACCCACTAAGCGAATTACGTATCCCCCGTTATGTTGCAAAGTTTTGCGGAACTCGAGCCAACGATGATTGAAAGTGGTTTTGACGTTGGATGATGGATGTTTCCGCAAACTCCTAAATGGAACGGCTTGCCCCAACTTTTTTTTCTCCCTCGGGACTTGTTTCTTATAAAACCACTTCTGTGTTTTTTACTTATGTGTTTTTTAACGCTTGAGAGCGAAGCTCAAGCACGTTCGGCGGCATCATTATGAAACGGCGACTTCCTAGACGCTTGATATTTTTAAGGTTTCAAAAACTGAAGAATTTTTTTTTTTTTTTTTTTAAGTACAAGGCGACGAAACTTTACTTTGTTCAAAGACTCCCACGAAGAGTTTGGTGCTCGAAGGAAACGTTCGCGGAACAAGACGATCCAGTAAATTTGGAAAATAAAAGGTGTGGACTCTTAATACGTTTTACGGACTTGGTAGACATATGGACCATAATCTGATTTGAAATCGGGCGATTTGTGGGCTCAGGCGTGGTGAGATGATTCGGCCGATGCTGCGCAATTCTATACCTGATTTCATTGATGTGGGTCACGCAGTATTGGTTACCTTGATAACTTCCAGCACGATGCCCGTCGATATCAACACCGGCAGCAATAATAATATACATTAAGACTGGCGGAGATTTCATGGCGCTGTTAATGCATAGGATGCTGTATCCTTTTGATTGTTTTGTGACGTTTTTATCTTAAAGCTGTTTATCTTAATTGCCCGGGAGCGGGGGATAGCAAAGTAGAGTACGAATAATAGAAACGAACTTAATAGGCACGTATTTTTATAGGGAATGTCGACAGCCTATGTTCACATTTCACAACGGAAAGATGCGACAATAGTCATGACTTCAAGATGCGTAATAGAGATCAGCCGAATTTTAGAATAGGTACGTACGGTCGCACTCGTGTTGTATGCGACCGTGCTTACCTATTCTAAACTTCGGCAGCAGAAATTACGTACTTTTTGTACGTTTGTACTTTTTCTCAAATGTATTTGCACCCCTCCATCGCAATAATGCCTTTGTAAGGCGATGCGAGGCATTCTGAACAAATAAATTGAATGTACCATGCCGATCAGAGCAAATTATTACAAACCTGATATTCTTGCGAACGCTCGGAGACCTTGTAGTTTTTTAATTCACGTCACTGGCAGGTGGTGATAATACTATCTGAAAGATTTATACCATCTTGTAAACTATTGAGAGCCACCAATTTCCGCTCTACGGTGTTCAAAATTAATAATATATTTCTGGATTCAATAGTTCCTGTTCAAAAGTGCGCACCATTGCTTGTCCGCCATTGCTTGGGCAGGAGTTATGAGCACGTATCGAAAATGAATGCTGCGTCAGCGTTTTGCGAGGACTCCGATTCTATCGCACGCTTCGTGCCCCAGAAATGGCGATCGCTAGTGTTCATTGATGGACTTTTGGTAGGGTCTTTTAGTGCTTGAAAACATTAGATGGCACGTTCCGCCTTGAGCGGAGGCTTTCCCTCATTGAGTGTCACGCTGCGGGGAAGCACGCTTGCCGTTTCCAAGTCGTGTCTGTCTACGCCGAAGCATGCAGCGTCGAACGTTCGAGGGTTTTCCCCCCAATCACTCTGACGGTTTCCCTAATTGTACTACAATCATACGCCGTCGTCTAACACGCTTCGCCGGCATACTAATAGTACGTGACAATTAATATGCCGTTCAAAACGCGTCTGGGAAATTCTGGGAATGTCTTCGCTGACGCGGTTCTGTTGACTGGAGAAGGCACCTCATTGTCGAACCCGTTTGAACAGAGAAGCTGCTTTGAAAAATGAGATTCGGCGCAATGTTTGCTGTCTCTAATGGAAACGGAAGCACCGGTATTCCCTGGTCTCTTTATGGCAAGAGCCGCACGTAACCCCCCGGGGATCAAAGCTGGCTTTGTTCTCTTTTACGGACGCGGTCGCTTTAGAAAGAGCCCTAATTACCTCTTTGTAGTGGCATCGCTTCGTTAGGACGCTTGCTTGATAGGCTAGATTCGTATGGTGTTGTTTCGTTATTATACTGACGATTTTTGTTTTTTCCGATCGAAGTTCACGCTGAGTGAGCTTGTTTCGCTGATTGCATTGCGCATGTTTGAAGAGCGAGCTTCGGTACCTGGGCTTTTGTGAGTCCATTTACCGGCATTTGTTTTTTACTGCCGTTCAGAGATTACCGGAGTGGAGTGCTGCTTCGATGGTATGGCTGCACCGTCCCCTAAAATGTAGTCTTCGAAGTGTAACAAAAACACAGTTCGAGTTCTAAAGGGAAGGTAAACGATTGGGTCTAGGTTGAATAGAAAATCCCGGCGTTTGAGATTTCAAAAGATAAAAAGTCATCTATGGTATACCAAACAATAATATTGTCTTATATTGAATACTGCTTTAGATTAACTACTATCATCGTAACAACGAAGTTCAGGACAAGTTGCATCATTGTGTTTATAGCACTAGCACTACTAGTATGTTACTATAGATTCAATAACTCTATTAGTATAATGTTGATTGGCGCCACAATTCACTGCCAGTGTAACCGCGAAAACAAAATAATATGGGGCTGTCAAATGACCGTTCAAACTTATTGTCGTAGCTAAATGTTGTCGTGTTTTTGGATGTAGCTATGTTACTTTGGGTATAGTTTAGTCCGATTATAATCACCATAGTCCTTCATGAATATATAGAACGTGATTGTGATTATTTCTCCTGTGTTAATGTTAAGTGTCTATTTTTATATGAAAACCTCTATTAGTGCTCAATAAGTTATATGTTTGCATTATCAATCAAAATATATCAGTATAAATAGTTTTCACTATATGAAGTATTAATCTTTTTTTACTAATTTACAGAT